AAAAAACTCAACAATATTCATCATGAAAAGAGGTGAAAGTGCTGGAGGTGGGCAGAGTTCCTTGGGCTATCTCTTTGGTTCCGATAAAAACGATAATAATTCAGAAAACAAGCCGCCACCGCCATCTCCGACAGCTTGTCTGCCGCCATATGGTACTGATATTGGCGACAACAAGCCGCCTGAAATCCCTAATTCCCCATCTCTGAACAAAGGAGTGTCGGGCCGCCAAAATTATGGAAACATCACTGTAAGTGTAATCATGTGAAAATTTAATTAAGTTGGACTAATTTCAATATTAAGCTATTAACTATATATGTAATCTTTTTTTTTTAGTTGTTTTCCTTTCATTTTTTCCTTTTTTACGATTGTTACATATAACAGGGTCGGCCATCGACTAGGGTTACCTCTGCACCAGGTGGAGACTCGTCTCTCGGCTACTTGTTCAGTGATAAGTCTTGAAATCCGACACTTCAATTGATTACATGAAATTGAAGAGGGACTAGAAGTCTAGAATAAAGCCTAAGGGAGATTTGATTTCATGTATTGTGATGCAAGATTTGCTATATAACTATGTTGTGTGTGGTTTATTAAATTAGGGTTTGTGGGTTTTGCTTGGGGTACTTGTGACTTGTGGATTATTATTATTATTTGTTGGCTAATTTTATTTTGTAATTATGATGGTTATATCAGCTTCTTAAGTCAAGCTAGCTAGGGTTATTTTGATCATCCATCAAATTGGGGTACGTTTAATTAGAGTTGAATCATCTTCCATATTGATTTTAATTTGGAAACCCTAGCTAGCTTGGAGGTGTGTAAGATTTGGCTTTCTAAGGTTTGCATAATACGGGGTTTGTTTGTTTTTCGTGTTTATATTAAATTGGCACACCTAGCTAATTACATTATCTTCTATTCTACTTGTGAACTTATAAAGTGATGCATGGCTGTCTTCGTAATTCTAGAGCGTCTTGTTTCACTTAACAAATATCAAATTTCAACTATTATTTAATATAAAAATATTTCAATAAAATTTATATTTAAGTTATATTTGACAATCTATGTATTTTTAACGCAAGTAAAATGCTAAAATCTTTCAATCGAATTAAATCTTCTAATTGAAATTTGATACTCGAAAAACTAATTTCCAAGTGTTTATGTAAATATTTCAACTGTTACAATAATAATTTAATCAATTTCAACTCTATAATTACATTAAAATTGCTTTATATTTAGCCATTTAGCGGACGGATAAGTATTCTAATATAAAATAGTAAAATATTCAATTGGGCAGATAGAAAAATAATAATAAAATACTTAATAAAATATTGAATGGTATAGATTTATTGTTTATATTTCACATCAAAACTAAATAGATGTAAACCATTTTTGATTGGGAACTTTGTAAAATATTTAATAAAATATTCAATAAACAACTAAATGGTGTGAACTCCATCCTCGTTCAGAACTTCGTAAAACATATAAGAGAAAAATATAATAAACCAGGTGAGAAGAGAGAAAATATATGATTATAAATAAATAAGGTGAGAAGAGAGAAAATATATGATTTCTTGTATTAATATGTACATGTATATAAAGCATAATATGTTGGTCAATCCTATAATACATACTACAACAATTATAAATAACAAACAAATCATTGCAACTAAAGTCTTATAAATAACAAACAAGTCAACTAAAGTCTTCTCATGATGGAGAACTAAATTGGCAAGTCTTTGCCATTATAGTAGCACTAATAAAATATTCAATAACTATATAATATAATTTCAATTTTTTTATATAAAAATATATATCACTTCAAAACTAAATAGACCGGCTTTAATCGACAACTAAATTTTGTTTATAAGAATCTATATATATATAATTACTAGCTAATAACATTTAATAAAACCTTTTTACCTATGTGGCAATTTAACAATTTTCCCTCCAAAAACCGTTATATTTTGATGTATTTAATCTTTCATTTAATCATTAAATAATTAATACTCATCACTTCAAAATTACAAAAATCATTTTAAACTTTTGATTAATGACAGTTGACCATATAATGTGTTGACTGTATAATGTGATTAGATGTTATTATTGTTGTTACATTTAATTTTTTTTAAATAAAAAATATATTTGAAATTCTTAAATAAATAATAAATAATTCACAAATAAAAGACGTACCAAAATATACATTACATCCAATCAGATAAATGCAATTTAAAAAAAAAAATATTACAACTCTTTTAATTGTAAATTTGGTCTTCAAAAAAGTGAAAGAAAAATAATTAATTATTATATGTATACAGACTCACAATAATTTATTTATATCTGTGCAAATGCACATGTCGAATACTAGTGATTGTAATAACTCCTTGTTGCCATGATTAGTTCTATCTAATGGCATCGTATACATTTTCTAAGTACTTATACTCTAGAATTTGTTGTAATTTTTCTTTCTCATATCCCTATACTTTTCCCTAGATGAGTAATTTAACTTTGGAAAGGAATCTCAGTCTAATTAAAATAATACCCACTCTAAGAAAATATATAAAAGTGGAGTAGGGGTAAAATAATTTGAACAAATTAATTTTTGCTTAAATAATTAAATTTAAGAATAATAAGTATTTATTTGTGGGGTAAGAGTACTATTGGACAGTTGTGGACTCCCCAATATATATATTTGGGTCTTATCATGGAGTGGTTAGTATGTCACATTGAACCCAAATTATCTTTTGATTAGTTGCAAATAGTACTTTGCCATCAAAAGGTGCATCTTTAACTTGTTCACAGTGGACTTAACACCCCACTTGATGCAAGCTAATTAACTTATTTTTCTTGTGCTAATTCTCATTTTTTTTTTTCAATCTATCTCCAATTCAGGATTCTAGAGATGCTAACTACTTGGTAGCTCCATTCTCAGGAAATGTTTGAAGATTTTTTAGTATTAAAACAACACAAGAATGACATATTTATTTTATAACATGTCATATTTTTATTTATATTATTTATTGTACGTGGGTAAATTTTAATAGCGTAGTTAAATTTTTTTATAATGTTAAATAAGTGTCATCAAACAAAAAAATAAGTATCGTCAAAAGTCTTGTTTCTTGTAGTGTATTATGTGTATAACACTTGTACTGAGTAAATATTAATTTACCATTTTGGAATATAGAGGCACTAAATATAGGTACACAGAATTTTAATTTTTATTTCCGAACAACTAAAGTAATGCAATATTGTATATATATTTTCATTAACAACTTCATATGCTATTTATGATTTCATTTTTGACAATTGAAAGTGAAACTGGTATAGTACACAATATTATTTTGATGAACATTATAAATATATATCAATTCATTTTATCCATTTGGCTAATACATGCACCAGTCAAACCTTTTTCCTTTGTAAAGTTGGTTTAGACTATGAATATCACGACAGGAAACACGATAGTAAATTATGAATATCCATGATAAATAGATAATTCAATTTGCCTGCTGAATCACATGTTAAAACGTGGGGGAGACAATTTTGACTTCTTTTTCTCAGGCTTTTCCTGTAAACATTTTTACCTATAAATAGTTAAATACATTACCAACTGTCACCGGATAATTCAGTAATTTGCATTTCAAAGTTGAAACACAAGAAAAGGCCCGAAAGCCCGGAAAGAAAAAATGCAATCTTTACATTCTCCTCCTCTCACGTTGACTTCACCTAACATTCCCAAATCACAACTCGACTCCAAATTTAGCTTCTCCCCACCAGAAAACCCCTTCTCCCATGCACTCCTCACGCTGCGTGCATGCGCCGTCGCCCAGCCCGAGGACACCAAAACGGGCCCTTCCGCTCACGCTCGCATGGTCAAGTCCGGCCTCGACGCCGACGTCTTTATCGGCAACTCCCTCATCGACATATACTCCAAGGTCGACCGGTTGGTCGACGCCCGCAAGGTGTTCGATCATATGCCCCACAGAACAGTTGTCTCGTGGACTTCCATCATGTCGGCCTACAACCGACACAGGCTTCCCCACGAGACGATTCTACTATTTACGCAAATGCTCGAGTGTGAAGTCGTGCAGCCAAACGAGTTCACGCTTGCCGTGCTCTTACAGGCATGCGCTTTGAGATGTGATAGGGATTTAGCTGAGATTGTTCAGTGTCTTGCGGTGAAAACGGGTTTTTTAGCAGACGGGTTTCTGCTAAATTCGTTGGTAGACGCATTTGTTAAATCCGGGATGTTGGCTGCGGCGGAAAAACTCGTGCTGGGAACGGCTAAACGGGACGTGGTCTCGTGGAGTTCGGTTATTTCCGGTTTGGTGTCATCACGTGGGAATAACGCTGAACGGGCGGTGGAAATGTTTTGCCGCATGCTTGAAGATGGCGTTTCGCCTAATGACGTGACGATGGTGGCCGTTCTGAAGGCGTGCTCGGTTATTCGCGACTTTGAGATTATGCGGTGGGTTCATGGGTTGGTCATGACAGGAAATTGGTCTGTAAATTCGTTGGTGTTGAATTCTCTTATGGAGATGTACTCTGTAAACGGGTACTTATTCGACAGCGTGAAAATCTTTTCCCAATTTTCTTTTAATAACGACGGTCGGTATCCCTCTGTTGAAACCATGGCGAACCTTCTGCAGGGGTGTGGGAATTACGAAGAACTGAAGCTAGGCGAAGAGATTCACGGGTTCTTGATCAAACACGGTGTTCTCCCCTGTACCGTTGCGGAAAATTCGCTCGTGAATATGTACGCGAAAAACGGACTCACAAACTCTGCTTTTCTACTCTTTACGAAAATGGTTGAGCGAGACATTATCTCTTGGAACACGATTATGAATTGCCTCGTGAAAAATGGCGACCCGTCTCGCACGTTGACCCTTCTCCGTCAAATCCACCTGGAAGGTGGTCCGTGCCCGGATTTCCTCACGTTCCTCACGTCCCTCAAAGCTTGCGCTGACCTGGCGCTTCTTGCGCACGGCCAGGTCATTCACGGCTACCTGACGAAAACCGGGCTTCTGGGGGACACATTCGTCCAGAATTCCATAATCGACATGTACGCAAAGTCGGGTAATCTAGACCATGCCAAAAGCACGTTCGACGAGATGCTCGAACGGGACATCGGTTCGTGGAACTCGATTATCGCGGCACACGGGACAAACGGTGATGGGATTTCCGCTCTAAATCTGTTTTCAAATATCGAGAAATCATCGGGAAAGTCGAGACCTAACTCGATCACGTTCGTCAACGTTCTATCGGCCTGCGCGCATGCCGGGCTAGTCGAGCAAGGATTGGAGATTTTCCACTCGATAGAGTCGAAGTACGGTTTGAGTTTACGCGCGGAACATTATGCGTGTGTGGTAGATTTATTGGGCAGGGCAGGGAGAGTTGAGGAGGCCGAGTTGTTTGTTCGTAAAATGCCGATAAAACCGGGGCCGGACGTGTGGGGGGCTCTATTGAGCGCGTGCGTGCTAGCTGGCAATTTGGGGATAGCCGAGCGGGTGGCGAAGGAGCTCTCGGTTTTGGAACCGGAGAGCGGTGCATGGAGAGTAGCGCTTGCGAATGCGTATGCGGCTGCCGGAGAGTGGCGGCAAGTGGCGGCAATCAGGGCGGAGATGAGGGAGTCGGGGTGGGGGAAGGAAGGGGGGTGGAGCAGCGTGAATGTGGACGGGTTTGAGGTCAGGTTCATGGCAGGCGAGACCGAGTGTCTCGAGAGCTGGGTGATTTATGATGTCGTTGGCCGGTTGGGAAATCACGTGAGGGACGCGTGGCTGTAAACGAGCTGAGCCGAGCTCGAGCTCAGGATACTTGAGCTCAAGCCCTTAACGAGCTGACCACGGCTCGGCTCGTCAAGTAGACGAGCCAAAATTTGAGTTTGAGCTCGGCTGTTTATCAATATTAACATGCCCATCTCAAATTTTAACGAATAGAATTATAGAAAATTATATAAAAAATTTCATTTCAAGTCGAGTCGAGCTCGATTCATTAATGAAATCAACTTTAAGAGAGCTGGAGCTCGACTCGTCAGTTTGGGAAACTCAAAAATTTTGGGTTTATATATGTACGTACTCAAAAGTTTGGGAAACTCAAGATTTGTCATACAAATTTGGAGACATTTTGGAGTCTAGTTAGTATTACCCAATGCGTGTGCAGTCACCATATTACCATTCCTGCTAAAACAATCAGGAGTCAGGACCGATATATTTTAGTAAATTTTAGAAGTTAACGTTGAAAGTATATTCACTTGGTCATCCAGCATTATAGAAGTATACATATCCTTTTATATGTAGAAAACGAAGATGGATGTAATGATTAGTTGAATGGTATAGACAGTTTGCAATTTTGCATATCATCATGCCGCCTACACATAATAAGTATAAATGAATGAAAAATAAATATAAAAATCGTAAAATAATTTTATGTTCATTTACTTATATTTAGAAATTTTAAAAATATTTTTAAGATTATGCTTAGTAATAAAAATATTTTTTTTTTATTATATATTTACCTTCTAAGTTTTTTGAAATTATTAATATAACCAATATATGAAATCCAATGAGACAGAGGTACATCCACCCCATCTAATCATCTTTTCACTTGGTCCTTCTCTTCTTCCACAGAAATATTAACCCATCTAACCATCTTTTCACTTGTTTTTCTTTCTTCCACAGTTTTCACTTGAGAGAAATATTAATTCAATGATACATGTTTTTCTTAGCTCCTCCCAAAATAATCTGCATGTAATCATTTTTATTGACAAATATTACATAATAATCGAAGTAATATGTGCTGCGCCACATTTTTGTTGACAAATATAGGTTACATAATAACCAAAGTAATATGTGCTGCCACATCATGCGAAGACTAAAAAATTGTCCGACTGACATTTTGTTAAAATAAAACTTGTAACGACAAATTTTGAAAAAAATAACAAATTTTATAAAAATTCTATAAAAAAGTAGTTTGGGACGAAAAATAAAACGAGTGCACAAACATAAAAAGTGACGAATATTATAAAAATATTGTAAAAATTAGGTTTGAGACGAATAATAAAACGAGTGCACAAGCACAAACACAAAACACGGTTTTGTTACATTAAATTAATTAATGTATATTCTTATCATTTCATTATATACAGTTAATTACATATTATTCTTGCCAATCGGGCTGTTATAATGAATTATTAATATAATTTCAAGTGAAAAATATATAATTTTATTAAACTTAATATTAAATTAATTACATGTAAATTCTTACCATTTAATTATATTAAATTAATTACTTATAAATTAATTCTTTTCAAAATTACGGATGTTATATGGAAAAAAAACCTATAATTTTATGAAAGTATAAATTAACTGTAGTTTTAAGAATAAAGAACAAACTAACGTGAGCAATTAATAATTCAATCATCCCATCAACAATTCAATCCAATTTATTTCATGTCAAATCCCGCAAGGTCACCTTTACATGATCAAGTNATTTCCTTTTACTCAATATACACCCCTCATTTTTTTCACAATCTCGCAAAGCATACATATAACAAGTTAAAAATCCCCCGCAAAAAAAAAGGAAAAAAAAATTAAAAATAAAAATCAAGTAATTATAAAACACATAAATATTAGAAATCTTACTTTCACTCACATTGCATTAATGCACCTCCATATTAGAAGACCTCAAGCTTCACATCCACAAACACCTTACACTCCTCATCATCATCATTAGTCATAGAGATGTAGGAAAAGATGACAAAATAGTACCCACATTTGATGAAGCACTTGACATAATTGTTTCTTCCCCTCCAAATTGCCCTTCTATCTGATCCCAAAACAAATAACTCGAACAATTTTGCGCGTCGACCCATTCGTTAATCACTGCATTTCTTCCCATGCAGTCGAGCTCCGCCACCTGTCCCGGCCCCACGAAACTCTGTACTTGTCGGTGGTCAACCGGCACCATCATGCTCTCAATGTTATCCATCAACGGAGTCAAACCGAAGCTCGTGAATTGGACCATATCCGACTGTTGGGCGGCTTGATGTTCGTCATGCCTAATCATCTTGTTCGTCTGCCACGTTTCTTGATTATTTTCTTGTAAAATCGTGTTATTATTATTATCCATTCGGGAGTTAAGGTTGTTGTTCAAGCTCATCATGCCCTCGATTTCAAACATGAAACGAGGACTCGGGAGAGGGAGTAGACTAGTGGCGGAATTTTCTTGGAGTTGCGAGGATTTTGTGGTGATTTCTTGATTATTGTGGTTCAAGAATTCGAGTTGGTGGTTTTGTGAGTACGATGCGGTGAACTGTGATGAGGTCGTTTGGTGGTCGGATTTCGGTAAGGTATTAATTGTGTTTGTCGAGGTTGTTAGCGAGCATGTGGAGGAGGATTTTCTTATCTTCTTTTTGATCCACGAGTTCCAGTAGTTCTTGATCTCGTTGTCTGTTCTCCCCGGCAAGTGGCTCGCTATATGAGCCCATCTACAAATTAGAAAGTCGCATGGTTTTTAGATGATTTTCGAATGAATATTTAAAGCAGATAATTCAAATTATGCAAAAGTTGAACAAAATTTGTACATATATATATGTCCTTACTTATATATTCCAATTAGTTTTGCTACGAAACCAGCCGGATCAATCATACCAGATACTCGAAAACTGATTCTTAGGAGTTATGTGAATAATAGCTTTTAATTTGCTTGAAGTCTTTCTTTCGTTCTTATAAACTAACGTATCATATCTTCCAAAATCACAAGAATTACATGAAAATATCCATCGACGCTTAATGAAACTTGTAAAAAGTAATACATATCAAGTGGTCATTCATAATTTTTAACCGCACGTTAGGCCCTAAATTTGTAGCCGGCCCTTTTTCATTTCTTGAGGTAAAAAGGATAATATAAGTTTCGAAAACGTGCAAAAGGAGTTTTTCTGCTTTTTGTGTATCTTGTATTGCAAGTAACATGAAACTAGCTAAGGTCATGCTACATGGTGAGTGCTTTAATTTGATTTTTCAAGTGAAAACGTTATAGTAAACAAACTTTTGATGTTTGCTTCTTAACGTCTTGGAAAACGCCAGAGGTAGCTACGGCTACGTAACTTGTGTTTTAAGACTATACGCTAAATGTACTGCACACATTAAATTAAATCCACGATTTTTTTGAATATTTACAATAACATGTAGCTGGTTTAATACTTTCAGATAAAAACACTCATTTAATTTAGAATAAATAAATTAATAATTGTGGAAACATGCATGTGACATTAATTAAGCTTCTTCAAATTTAATTCGTAATATCAATTATTGTAAGTCATAGGAATCCCAAAATTTATATGTCATGTTTTTGTACTTTTTGTTTACTTTGTCAGGATCCTATAAATTAATTTCTGGCAAAATTTTATTTTTCTTGCTTAATACATTAATTTCACGATCATCATCGACCTTAATACACATAATAACTTGGCAAAATCATAAATTATAAGAAGTGCATTTGTCAAGTATTGGTGATATATTATCACTGATTTGCCAACTTAATGGTAACTTTTATGAATTTTTCGATTTTATATGTTTAATTTGATGAACATCAGTCAAATTAGTGTCATCATTTTCCAAACAAAAGACACCATTTTTGGAAGACAAAACAAAATGAAATTAAGCACTTAATAATTACTAATTAGGGCTAATAATCACTAAAAACCTGTTCCCAACAGCTCCATGAAGGTTGATAATCAACTTCTCTTCCTCTGGCGTGAACCTTCCCCTTCGAATATCCGGTCTCAGGTAATTTATCCATCTCAGCCGACAACTTTTGCCGCATCTTTGAAGCCCTAAAACCACATTAATCCATCATCATAATCAATCTNATAATTAGTAGTATAAAATTAGACAGCCTAACACAAGATTTACCGTTAACAAATATCTTCTAATTAAAATTATTTGGTTCCACGTGCAAGTTTTAAAAAAATTAATAAAATAAATAAATAAAACGAACCTGCTTTTTCCGGGACTTCGCTCCAGCACCCGTACCCGTGGGTCGAGATGTACCTGATCAGCTTCTCATCTTCCTCGGGTGACCAAAGCCCTCTCTTCACTTTCTGTTGGTTGCAACACGAATGGTGCCCCATAATTTTTATTTTTAATTTTTTTAAATTCCAATCAATCAAACCAACAATAATAATAGTAATAAGTCAATCAACCCTAAATATACTAATAAACAGGGTTAATGTTAAATTAATTAAATAGCAACGAGAAAAAAAACTCTCTTCCGTCCCTTCATATAGATGTAGCTTTTGTTCTGGACTATGTCCGACACGGGCCCTCGAATGGGCCGGTGGGCCCACAAATGTTCCTATCTAACATTTACAGTGACGTTCCATCAAATATGCTTGGTATCTTTTTTTTATGTGACGTT